CTTTCTGGGCTTCCTGCAAAGAACACACAAAAATGCATACATGTGAACAAAAAAAAAAAAAAAAAGTTTCATGCACTATCAGTGTTTACTGTTTAGATCTTCATACTGTCAACCAATTAGAAATCATATGGTTTTTAAAGTAATTATTATACAAAGTTCAACAATCTTACCATACATAGATGGCCATGGGGTTTGTGTTGGATAAACATTTCCCAAAACACTTGCAAGAGAACAAAATAGGAAAGAAAAATGAAATTAGCTTCATTTTAAGTTAAAATTAGCTTATACTTAAGTCAATTTGTAGAAGTTCTCTCATATTAGCTTCTCCAAAAACTCTTTTTGTAACGTGTGCATAAGTTATGGAGAAGCTAATTTCACTTTTTTTCATAATTTTTTTTCCCTAAAAGTGTTTCAGAAGAAGTTTATTCAAATGGACTCCATTTTTTAGTACAGAAACTTTTACACCATCGGTGTATTCTAATTTAATTCTAAAAACAAATCAATTAAACCCCATGGAGGTCTATGAAAAAACAACTGAAAATTTCAACAAAACCAAAAACATTATAAAGCTATGTTGCTTTTAGTGTTCAATTAAAACAAAAATGGATGCAGTGAACACACCTCGATGAGATTACCAGTGAGATCCTCTCCAAAAAGGTCAACATGCAACCCTTGATTTCTGAGTGCCCTCACAGCATTGCCACGGAGATGTTGCAGGGGATGCCTCATTCCAATCACAACCCTTTTCACCCCTCCCTAGTTTGGTTTCACACACACGGCACGGTCATTTATCAGCTACAAAACACAAACTAGACCCCAAACACCATCGTATTCGTGAGCAACAACATCGCAACGCACGAATTCGGAAACAATCAAAGGAAAGGTGAAGAACCTGGAGCAGAGCGGACACGGCGCTGTGGTCGCCGTGGCAGTCGCCGGGCTCCATGTTGAGGTAGGCGGTGGCGCCGCGGCAGCTCTCGGCAGCGGCGGCGACGGCCTGCACCTCGGCGGCGGCGGTGCCCTGCGCGTAGAGGTAGGCCTCGCCGGCGACGTGGCCGGAAGGGGCGACGATGACGCATCCGAAGTTGGGGTGGGGGGAGGTGAAGCCGGCGGACTTGTCGGCGAGGAGGGCGGCGCGTCGGATGTGGGCGGCGTCGAGGGCGTGGAGGGCGGTGGGGAGGGAGGCTTTGCATTTGAAGATGAGGGAAGAAGGATTGCCACTGAGACTGAGAGTGAGACACGACAAAGCCATTGTGAACACTCGCTTCTTGTTTTGTTTTGTTTTGTTTTGCTTTGCTTAGGTTCGGTTTTTGGTTAGAGCTTAGAGGAAGTGTTGCTACTTGCTACTGCATTTTGTTAAGAGTAGATAGTCGATTTCGTCCGTGAATTAGCAAGATGTTTTTACTATAGACTATGAAAGGAGTGGGAAAAGTTTTTATTCACATAATTCTCAATGCAAAAGGCCAGAGGCATGCATGCGATGACCTGAAAGATATTATTTTTTTTATTCATCTAATTCTGAGTGCGAAGGACAAGAGGCATACATGGGCTGACCTGGAAAGAGGTCCAATTCATTTGATTAATGTTCTATGATATAATTTAATTTAACCAATAAAATTTTGCTCAATAACTGTTTTCCAATAGATGACAAGAGAGCTTTCCAATCATGCCATTCAGCTTGCACTTCTAGAAATTGTTTTATTGTAGTTTAGTTTAGTTTTTTTTTATGAGGGAAAATGTTGTCTTGGACTTTTTTTATTATTGATATGATTAAGGATGCTGCAAAGTTTTCTTCATATTTTCTATACTTTCTTTATTTTTTGCGCACATGATGTTCAGCTACGGCCTGTAGAAACAAGGGAGAAATTTTTTTTTTTTAAATGTTGTATTCTTGTTTATCTAGATGATTCAAAGCCTAAACTTAATTTAGTTAAAATTCTAAAAAGTTAAACAATTTTATAAAATGGTATATTCTCGCTTATTTTCAAATACTTCACAATTTTATATATCCATAAATTATAAATAACTTATTTATTCTCCAACTAAAAGACGGGAAAAGAAGACTAGAGTAGAAAAGTTTATAAAAAAGAATATAGAGTTCAAGTATAATTTAGCGTTTTTTTCTTAACAAAATAAGCTAAACACCTGAAATATTTTTAAAAGAATTAGAGACTTTAATTTTATAGAAGAAAGGAGGAAAAATAACTTTCAATAGACCAAGTAAAAAAACTTTAAAAATTAAATAGCACATTTCAATCTCTCTTCCCCTCGTATCTTTAACTAATGTAAGATATCTTTCAAGATAACACTGAAAGTGAAGCAACTATTTTATTTATAACTTACTTTATTTGGTTTGTGTATATGTATAGAAATCTTTCAAAAAAAAATATTTTAAAGCGGCGGAAGCAGTATATTCCTAACACAATTTTCAAAATAACTTAGTTTATCAATATTAATCAATGACTTTAAAGCGCTTGTTATCAATACCCTTAAAACGTCTTACTTTTTCCTAGAACTAAACACCGAAATTATTATAGCACTCTCAACTCTCACGTTCACATTCAATTAGTACAACCAATAGAATTTACCAAGCAGTGAACTAGAAACGATAATAAGTCAACAGGGATAGAGTCCACCCATTATTGAAGTGACCACTCAAAATACAGTAGTAATGCACCCGGATAACATATCAAAGTACGCAAGCACCGTGATATGTCCCAACGAGGAGTCAAACACAAACACAGACAAATAAAATAAAAATAGATTATCAGTACAAATTAGGTAGAATCCAACTTAAGAGAGAACGGGCCAATATCTTAGCTAATGGTACAAGAGCTGAGCTGAAGACAACATATTATCGTCAGCCCTGAACCTCCACCACACTTACTCCTCCTCTTCAGCCTCCTCCAGCCAATTAACAAAGGGTTCTAGCGCCTTCACAAAGGTTTGCCTGTACCATTTTCCCAAATAAGCAGCAGCAGTAAGTAACAGGTAAAATTACAGACACCATGAACAAGGAAACTATAAATGACATCCACAACAAATTCCATACCTTCCCTTGCTATTTGTTCCTTTTCGGAACCAATGAAGAATGGTATCTTCAGCCAGCACATCCTGGTCATAAAGAGATCTAATGATCTCAGGGAACAGCTTCATCAGCTTAGCGTCCTCATAGCATTGCATCTGTACTTTGTACATCAGTTCCAGCTCAAGCTTCCCAGTGGTGCAGAATGTATTCAACAGTTCTGCCCAAGTTTTCACCTTTATCACGAACACAGTGTTGTCATCAACTTTTACAAAGATAAAACGTGGCACGTAGAAAAGCTAATTCATTAAATAGTTTTCTTTATAAGCAGTTACACGTCAAATCCGTTAACTAAGATTATGTAACCGCTAAAAAGAATCAAATTGTGCATGTCTTAACACTATAAGAACAAAATATCTACCACCCAGAACATGCTATACAGTACTCAGCTAGCTTCTGGATACTGTCATAACTCATAAGCTTCTCAGCAGTTCTTTGGAAATAGGTAAAATAACCTAAAGTTGAAAACAGACTCAAGGTTAAATGAAACCGTTAAAAAAACAAAGGCAAATTACCAACAAATAAATTCCTATATGAAAAACCGTTAACTTGAATAAGGTCATAAAAAACTCAATACCCCATACTTGCATCTCTTTTCTGTTCAATAAGAAACCTAAGTGTACAACGTAAAAGACAACAAGGGCAAAAAATTCCCGAGAGAAGCAAAATATCTAGAGGATACCTGACGAAGGGCTGCATTTGCATTCTGTTGCTGATTTTTTCCAGACCACTGTACAGCATCCATTAAAACATCCCACACAACCCGCACCACCTCACTGTCAGGCAATTTAGCATCTCTAACTCGCAGCTTCACAGTCTCGATGACTTCAGATGTATCAGCCTCCTCAGTTATTTGTGTCGTTAAAGCAGACTTCATTTCCTTAAGTTTCACCTCAAAAATTTTCTTTTCATTATACTCCACCAAGGCCACCAGCCCTTCCTTGCTAAAAAATTGACAATGATATATAAGTTTCCACCATAGGTAACAGAACAATAGAGAATGGAAAAACGAAATATACTAGCCTCTAACTAAATATCCAACAATAAAACTGTTACACACTTTAAACAGATTAAAAGACTCATTTTAGATGATCAATTAGCAAATGTCCAACAAGCAGAATGCTACAACAGATTCAGAAACAATAAAATTCCACACTTTAGATAATAGAAGATTAATAATTCACTACTAGCATTGTAAGGCATGATTTCAGGCCTTGTGCAGTCCATTCAACTACATTTCTTTGGAAGAAAGAAAAAAGAAACAGCACTTGGTATGCTGAGCTTTAATCTTTAACAAAACCCAAGGATAATAATTAAGGCTTGCAAGCCTTTCTAACATGCTATTTAAGAATTAAGATTACACAAGGTCAAGTGATACAATACTGAAAAGCCACAGAATAGCTTTAATATCATATTCAGCCAAACATTGCATTAGGATTAAATTTCACGAGTATTAGTATGCTGCAAAAAATAATGAGAAAAAATAATCTTAAAGCACTTTTCAACAAAGATATGTCATTTTCACTAATAAGCCAGACTTACCTGAAATGCTCAGAGAAAACTTCATTAGATCTTTTTGTAGGGGGGAAAAAGTCCAAAAGATTATCCTCTATTTTTCCCCGTTTCAGAATTGAAATAAGATCATCAAGGCTGTTGTCAATCAGATATTCCTTAAAGAAGTCAGTCATAAATGACAGAACTAGCCCTTTGGCCACAAGGTTATCTTTAAGAAGTGGTTGGAACACAGTCTCGGGTGGGAGACCAGACAGCTTCTGGGAGAATGCCAGTGCTGTGAAAATTGCCAACTTTTTCCTCTCATTTTCCTCGAAAAGCTCCAAGGACTGGAGGAATTTTCGCATGACATTTTCAAGGTTCTTGATCAGAAATGGCCTTCGCCGCAAAATCTTCTGTATGTAGATTACAGATGGTAAGATGACTTCACGTTTAGGCTCACACTCTATTATAGAGTACGGATGGCGGTCCCCCTCATCAGGCTTGGTAGTTCCAGGTTGTGTACGACCCCCAGTGAAAACAACCTATAGTAATAAAAGTTAAGCAGAGTAATTGGTTAGTAGGAGACATTTGTAAGGCAGGAACAAATCAGTGGACAAAAAAAAACTAGAATGCATCAAGAACATTAAAATTAGATAATGACTGTGTTGATGCTCTAGTAAAAGGAATATGTAAGGAAATAAAATGTTATATTCAATATCCCACCACCCAAAAAAGAAACTAGACTGTGTCAGCCACTTATTGTAAAGGTAAAAAATTTTCAGCAATGAAAAAAAGGTCCCTTCATCATGAAGAATGTGAATTAAATTTAAAGTTCAGGGTATTGGATCCACATTAATGCTATCTGTGTAACCCAGATCTTAGTAGAGTACAGTTACAGATGTAAATATCACAGTAACATGCAGCACATCAGATCCACTGGGAGAATGGTATCCTGGGAAAATAGTCATTATACACAGGAAGCAAAAAATAAAAATGAGAACACTGTATTCACTAGGGAACAGCACCCACAGAGAGAATAGCAAAAAAAAAAAAAAGATAGTATTCGAACAACCACACACAAATTGAGAAGGTATTGATAAAGCAGACAGCATCAAAGCATGCCACAACATAATAGTTATAGATACCACCAACGACTGAATTCAACAATAGCAAGAATTATGCATCCAGTTCTCTATAATAAAAATTCAAAACCAATTATTTCCAAAAAGCTCATCAAAAACCCATAGTAGAGAAATGAACAAATAGACAATAAAGTTTTTCTGCTGGTTTAGGAAAGCTTGCCTCGAAAAAGGTGTCACCGTATCTTGAGAAGTTAAGGTCTGAAGATTCAATGCTCCTAGCAATAAGTTCCTACAAGCACAAATTACTAAATCAGTCATATGAATTATGAATGAATGAATATGTGCGAGACAGTGTGCAATTCAAACAGTCAATAAATAAATAGACTGCAAAATGAAACGGTAATATTACCAAATCACCAGCATTATCCAAATAAATCTGGACCACTGCATCCGAGAATGCTGCAGGGTCCAGCGGCGCTGCAATATTCCGTTTGCGGGTCTTAATCCGCGTGCCACTGAGAATTGAAATAAACAGACAAAAGATAAGATCCTCAACATAGTTTATACATGCATTATAAATAACACAAAAATCTCAATAACTATATCATATTTTCATTTTCCTTCCAGCGAAATGTTCATAGTATATCAGCTTAATCAAGCATGGTTGACATAACATATCAGCATACAGCGCATGATTATTCAAAACGCACGCACGGAGCATAAAAAGATCATAACATATCTTAGCTAAACAAAACATGTTAAAAGAGAACAAGGCATTATCACAAAGCGAGAATAAAACTTACCCAAGAGTGGGTCTCTCCTTCGAGCTGCAACAAGAACAATCGAGATTAGTAACAGAAAAAGAAAAAAGAAAAAAGAATAACAATAATTTTTAAACATTATTCATATTTGAGTCACACTAATTTAATAAAAGGTAAAAAAAAAAAAAAAAAAAAAAAAAAAAAAAAA